GGCGCCCTCTTCCGATCCAAAGCCATAGCCAAAGGGGAGGCCCGAGAGGTGGAGCCATTGGTGGCAGAGGAAGGGGTCGGGGTCGAGGTGGAGGAAGGGGAAGAGGCAGAGGAAGTGGGAAGAAGGGTATGGAGAAGTCAGCTGATGAGTTAGACAAGGATCTCGACAACTATCACGCAGAAGCCATGAACATCTCTTAACACTTGTGGTAGATCCTTCTTAGATGACCTAGTACTCTCCTCCACAATATGCTTTTAGATTCTCCTTTGTGTTGCTTTTGTCTGGTTTTTGTCCTCTTCCATATTTGCTCTTGTGTGTGTATATTGATGAAGAAGAAGAAGCGAAGCTTGGATGTTTTTAACGTGTTTTTGTCTGTTTATAAGAAGAAATCTTAATATTCTTGGTATATGGAACCAAAGAAAGATGCACGCAATCACAGTGCTTTACAACACTATCTTTGTGGAGGGTCAACAGCAACAACAAGACGATGATCATCATCAATCCGATTGTCGAGGACGAGCTCACCAGAGTCGCTCCTCTTGAAGAGCTTCTCCACCACTTGGTCCCAATTCGCCTTCTTCCCCGACCCTCCTCCTCCGCCTGCCGTCGTCTCTGTTTCTCCACCATCGTCTTCTTCGGCAGAGGAAGCGACTGCGTGTGGAATGTTGAGGCTCACCGCTCTCTCCAGCGCGTCTTTGTGCTCTCTCTCTATCGTCTTCTTCCTCTCCATCCTCTTCACCTTGGGCGCCTCCCTCACCGTCTCCTTCTCCCTCATCACCTTCGCTGCCTTCTCCGTCTCCCTCTCTATCCACAGTATCGCATGGTCCGATGTCGCGTTGCACGATAACACTATATGCTCGAACCTCCCGTCCACCGGTATCGCTGTTCTCACCTCCGGCGGAAACCTCCCGCACCTAAAACAAAACAAAAAAAGCCGGAAACAAACATGTGTTGAAACGGTTCTTGCAGTGCGAAAATTTCTTCTTCTGTTACATCTTTCCGATCATCACCTAAAGAAATAACACATAAAGACGTTAACCTGCAAAACTTGCGCTCCACGACATGATAAATCCGTCCCGGGGCGTAGAGTCTCCGAGGATCTCTTAGCTTTCGACCCTCTGGTATAAACGTATCTCTCAAACACACTAAGAACAACAGGCATGGCAAGCTGTTCCATCAAACACGCACAGAATCATTACACGGAAAGCCCAGACTCTGTCTAAATATTCGACACAGCCGCGAAAGCAGTTACCAGAATATCGACTTGAAAATATCTTCCAAGGGTGTCGCTGTTCTTGGCAAAAAATCGTCCTGCAATGAACAAAGGAATCATCACGTTTTTTATTCAGCCTAAGAATAAAACGAGGTCCTGGACAAAGATTCTCTAAAGCGAACCGAAAAAGTGTGGACCAATCGAAGGCCATGAAAACTCAACTCGGGTTTTGCTTCCACTCAAAGTAAAGAACAAAGGACCAAAGCATATTCTTGAGGAAAACGGTCAATAATGACATCTACCAATCCAAAGACAGCTAAGGAGTTCATGTCCTCTCTAACTTCAACCGATCAATGTAAGAATTTCAGGAAAATCGAATGTATTCCACAAAAGAATCCGATCGAGCATCTACATGATGACATTCGAGCGACCTTGGGTCGAACAAACTATAAAGCCAACCAAAAAAATGAACAAGAACTTCGATCAAGAAGCCGAAAGCAACAATGTACCATATGATCTTACCATCTCTCAAGAACTAAGCCTAAGTAAGAATCCATTATCCATAGTTTCTGAATCTTCCAAATCACAATTCCCATTTCCAGAATCTGTTATAAAAACATCAAGAAAAACTATGGAAAGTAACAATGAAGATACTTCACCTGCAAGATGATGGAGTAGATGATATCGGCGTATTTGACGGCCAGATTGAGAGACATACACCTCGCCGGAGCCACGGCAAAGCACCGGATCTTGCTTCGGGGAATTCCGCCGAGCCTCTCCGGGTCGTTCACCGCCAGAACCGCCATTAACGACGCGACACCAGACCCAAGAGAGTGACCCGCAAACACCATCTTGTAATCTCTCCCATTCTCCTCCCAAACTCGCCTCAGCGTCTCCGATTCCTGATTCAAAACCCAAGCCGCCGACTTCAACAGCCCGTGATGAACATACCCACCTCCCAGCATCTTCTTCCCTAGCCGATTATCCAGCAGGATCTTGTAATCGCTCTCTTTCGCGAGGTTTAGCCCTCGAATCGCCAAGACGATCTCCCGGTGGGTGTGGTCGACGTAGATTATGTAAGGAGGAGACCGGCCTTGCGTCTCCTCGCGGCTCACACGTTTCAGGACCCAATCAGGGTTTAGATCGAATGCTCCGATGGAAGGTGGGATTTTAGGGTTTCGGAGATCTGGCTCGTAGACGGCGAGAATCGCGCGGCAAATGCGAGGGACGGGCTCGAACTCCTCGGCGGTCGCCGCCGGCCACGTCGAGATTGAGGGGTCCAACATGGAAGCCCCAGGCCCAGGCAGATTATGTAAGGAGGAGACCGGCCTTGCGTCTCCTCGCGGCTCACACGTTTCAGGACCCAATCAGGGTTTAGATCGAATGCTCCGATGGAAGGTGGGATTTTAGGGTTTCGGAGATCTGGCTCGTAGACGGCGAGAATCGCGCGGCAAATGCGAGGGACGGGCTCGAACTCCTCGGCGGTCGCCGCCGGCCACGTGGCGCTATCGTCGGAGCCGACGTGGGTGCAGCGTTTCCACGCCCAACGTGTAAACCCAACGCAGAACACGCACTCTAGCCCACAAGCAACCGACATTGACCTCAAATAATCAAAAAATCATGAGCTAAAATCAGGACGAAAGCTGAGATTTTGACTGCCGGAGATCGATGGATTCACGAAGTGAAAACAAGGGTTTCAAGAATCGATCGGATTTGAGTAGAGTTCAGATGCGTGACGCCGGAGCTTAGAGATGGAGTCTGCAAAAAAAAAAAAAGAGAGACTTGAAGAGTCAAAATCGAAGAAGAGGGAATCTGGGAAACGGGTTTTGATGGGTATCTCCGATAGAGATGAAAGAGATGGAATTTTCCAAAGTGAAGAATGGGGAAGCGACGACGGAGGAGGTTGGGAGAGAACGAGAAAACGCGGTTGGGGAGAGGAGAGGGTTAAAGTGTGATCAAAGAGGAGAGACTTGTCAAATATAGAAAAGGGGAAAGAAGAAGAAAGGGAAAAGGATTCGACACGGAAGGATTGCTTTGCGAACAGAACATCTGAGATAAAAAGGATATGAAGAAGAAACCAGGAGAGAGAATCTCCAGGAGGAGGAAGAAAGGTTGGCTTATGATGATTAGGACAAGCAGTCAAAGTACACAGATTAAAGAACACAGATGTCTTCGGTAATCTGTTGATGCAAATGTCGAAGCTTCAACAATTCTAATGAAATTCTAAAGAGACCCCTTGAGCAGAGAGAGAGAGAGAGACCATTTTCCAGGTTAATTTTTTATATTTTTGAAAGAAGAAAAAAACGAATCGTGTTTGGTTCTTTCTTTGTGTTCACCTGTCTCTTTCTTCCTGGATTTTTTTTCCCTTTTTCAAAACGTTGAACACACTGAAAAAAGGGGAAAATTCTAGTGAATTTTAAGGATAATATTATATGTTCAAAACATCGGTAGATGACATATAAATAAATCTATATCTTAATTATGGATTTATTAAAGTCTTACACGATAAGCATATATTCTCTTTTTGAATGCTAAAGCTAATTTAATCATGTGATGTGATAATAATTCATCACAGCACGATGTTATAAAATAAATGCACCATCGAACATGCCAAAACTATACTTAAATGCACCTAAAAAATGTCACAATAATAATAATAATATCTATTTATTAAAAAAAATTATGTCATTTACGATACTCGCATTAAAAATCGACAGTATAAGATCCCTGGAATTCACTAGATTTTTCGGAAGTCAGATATTTCACTCTTTTAAATTTTATTATTTCAATTAATTTATATTCCCTAAACTAGAGGCTGGACCAATTGGGAGCGAGGAAGTTGGTCTAACGGTTCAAGCCCATTGGGCTTCCTGCATCCCTTCTATAAATACCAAATGGACTGGGCTTACTACATTATTCTATATATGTTTAAATTTTTATTTGAGAATATCTTTAACAAATGGATTTAATAAACCTAATTTATTTTACGTGATCACTTGGTCAAAATCTGAATCGATCCTAATCAAATGTTACGTATAATTTGGAATGATATGAATTTTCTATTATCCGAAAAATCCTTAAAATAATTGAATTTTTTTTTTCTGAAAAACATTTTCGTTGATAAAAATAATCTGAATAAAAACCACCAGATAAAAAATAAAAACTAAAACAGTATTATCTAATTGGGCTCAGAAGTTATAATAATGGGCCTGAATCAGGCCCATTACCATATGGATTTGCTCTTCTGGGCTTTAACATTTGGATACGACAATGCGTGCCGTTTTACGAATTTCGGCTTCGGTAAAATTGTGTGAGGCCCAAATATAACAAAGTTTAAAGGCGAGGGCCTTTGATCGTTTTTACGAATTTCGGCTTCGGTAAAATTGTGTTGATATAAATTTTATATAATTAGATTATTTTGTCTGATAATTCATTTTTACGTTTCTATAATTTTTAGATATTATCACATAATATAATATGATGAATTAAAAAATGCAATTTGATCGTAGCCTAGGTATATGTTATAACGTGATAAATATATGTGCAGATTAATGCATGGACCAGAAATAGGTTAATAAGTTTTGCTGGTAAAAACATTCAAAGTTTTTTTTTTCTTCAACCCTTACAAAATATGTACTTGCAAAATTTGAAGACAGGATCATCATTATCTGCCTCCACCTTTTCTGTCCCTCCTGCTACGTCCACAGTTAACTCACATCGGCCTTCACACATACATATACACACGTGTATATATAGATATATGAGTCTGCGTGTGAGTCTGCATACGTTCTTTACATACAGCATACATATATGAATACGTACGTATATTATATATGTGTAAGTGTGAGAGTCTTCATACGTACACTTATATATATATATATGCACCGTACACGTGTATACATAACGAATCAAAATATGTTTTTTTTTTGTTAAAAAAATCAAAATATGTTAGTTATATGAAATGAATAGATGAAATAATATATTTATATAAAACGATAGAAAGAGTATCAGCTATTATTATATCCACGAAACATTCGAAAATGGCCTCAAAGAACAGTATCGAGTTGTCACAATCATTTCAAGAATGAAAATATTTTCACGTAGGTCAAGAACAAAGCAGAAACACAGAGAACGAAAAGCTCTAATTAGGGCACGTCGCGATATATATATATACACAGGATTTTTAATTGAATATAAAAGGTTTTATAATAATTGTTGGAACCTACCGAATACCGATGAGAAACCAAATGATATATTTAATGATTCTGCAAACCCTTTTTTTAACCCCAGAAAAAAGTCATATGTGAAGCTGATATATACTTTTGAATACTAAAGGATTTTTTTTTAAAAAAAAAACTGCAGGAACTTAGCTAGAGTCTTTCCGACATGGTAATAAATCTTCCGATTCCATGTAATAGCCTGCAAATTATGTGAAATAAATAAGTTATTCAAAGGATGACATATTCGTTGAAAAGTAGAATCGAACTCATAATCTCTTGAAGAATTATGAAGAAAAATTAATTGTAATTGACTATTGGTGACAAGATGTTAATTTTTTTTTGAAAGACTGTTTATACGTTGACGAGAAAAATATAAATGTTAAAATTAAAGATTAGGAGAGTATTATAAGATTAGACAAATATTACTATTATGTGAATATTCTCATATATATATATATATATATATAATATTATAATTGATATTTTTTCTGATTTGATTAGATCCAATGTATGTATATATATGCTATTCAGCTTAATGAAAAGATAGATATGCACACAATTGTCAAAATATTATTACATACTAATTTGAGAGGAGAGAAATAGAAATTATGGAGACTTTCTCCAATTATATACAAACTTAATACTCACACAATTGTTCTGGGTTCGAACCTTATCTTTGATCTTTTGAGGTTGAGTGTTCGATTCCTGACTGGTGGGGAGGGAGGTAATTTCTGAATTTATATGATCCATATACAAAGGCTGTTCCCGGGTCAGAGGTTTACCTAGTCAGCGCGTCCGAAGGGTAGCAGCTAGGGGTCCTCCGTTATAAAAAAAAAAACTTAATACTCACCATTCGCGGTTTCATCGCGGGGTTATGCCTTGTTGATAATTCTGTTAATTATACCATTAATAACAAGGACAGAAATAAATGGCTATGTTATCATCATAATATGATTGTCATGAGAATGTGAAGATGGATATATATATATATATCCATCATCCTCTTGTGGTCTTCGTGGCCAACAACAATTCAGTAAATGGCTTCGATTTAGTCGTTGTGCGTTGCGTTTCCATTTATTTGGAGTTGGTCCACGCTTTAACATATATGTCCCACATTCTACAAAATTGCTAATAACATGCGACGCCCTTGTTTGACTGAAGTACTATAGCTTATATAAGATACTAGTTAGTACTATGTATGTATGTATGTATGTATGTATGTATGTATGTATGTATGTATGTATGATACTTAGAAATTTGAGATGCCAGGAATAAACAGAAACGAATAATTAGACGTCTCGTTAACATGTTCGTCTCATTTCAAGCCTATTTATAAAAATCATAGAATCCATCTTGTTTGTCCTTGAATTCTAGTATGAATTAATGATATATATCGTAGAGTTCATACATTTTGTTTTTGTGTGGATAAGAAATAGTACGTCAAAGGTTTGGAATTCTAATAAATTTCATATAGAAAAATACGGAAACTACAAAATTCAGATTATATTTCTTTCAAATATTTATATTTTTAATATTAATCCACAAAAAAGATGTAGTATATAACATCTAAGATATAATACATCATCCATAAAATTTTAAATAATTCGGATATGGATATTCATATTGTCAATATATTTTTAAATCATTCTATAAACTTACATAGTTAAATATTATTGGTTTAGACAAAGCTTTCTGATCGGTGCAAAACAGAGATGGTAAAAGAGTAAAAATATAAATATAAAAAAAATAAAATAAATGGAGATCTATATGTGACGATGTCTCATATATATATTTTTCATTGTATATAATATCATACACCAACCCAAAAGATAAGATTATGCGCGTTATATAAGAAAAAATATATCAAATATCAAAATTCGTCATTCAAACATATGATCTAAGCGAATAGACCGAATTCACGCGTTTTTGTATTTGTAGCTCATTGGATTTGGTCTACGCTTAAAAGAAAATATTCAAACATTCTAAGGCTAAATTAATCAACTTGCAGTCCATATTTCCGTAATCTAAATTTCATTCATCACAATTCAACGCAAGGGAAATCGTGTCTGACAGTTATCCAGACCAAGATCGGTCTACTCCGTGTCATGAAAAAATTACTAGAATATATCCGGTTTGGTTCAGTTTAATTAGGATGAAATCTGAGTTGTATAAACGGGTATATTCTATGTTTTGAATTGAATAACACAATGATATAATTTGTATAAATTTGTTTTCTTCTTTAATTTGATTCGGTTCTCTCAAAATTCATAAGATTTTGGGATCGATTTCATATTAATCTCAACCCTAAAAAAATTCAAATGTAGATCATACCTATTTATACAAGCCACAAATATTAAAACAAACCGGACTAAACCGGATTTATATATGGTATAATAAAAGTTTACGAAACTCTCCATAAACTAGGATATAACCGTGTACTACCTCGTCAAATTTAAATATCTAGATTTGAAGTAAATTTGATTGCACGAATCTATTTTATTTTTCATGAAAATTTCTAGACTTTGCCATCCGATACATTTATTAAAATCCCGAAAAAATTCACTCTCTACGTGTATATATATATATATGTCGCCGCCGGCCACGTGGCGCTATCGTCGGAGCCGACGTGGGTGCAGCGTTTCCACGCCCAACGTGTAAACCCAACGCAGAACACGCACTCTAGCCCACCAGCAACCAAGCCAGAACGGACGGTCTGTCGAAACACGTGGAACGTCCGTTCCAGAAAGCCAGAACGGACGGTCTGCATCCGTGGACCGTCCGTTCCAGACCTTCTGGAACGGATGACCGAATGCAGACCGACCCCGAATACCGAACGTTCCATCAGACCCAGACCGGACGGTCCGAAGACCAGACCGGACGGTCTGTCAAACGTGATCCGAACCCCTCTTATGGTCATCGGTCCAGACCGGTCGGTCCAACCCTTGGACCGTTCGGTCTGACCTAATTTGACCTAAAAGGAACAACCGCCGTCATGCGTAGACCGATCGGTCTACACTCTAGACCGTTCGGTCCATGCGACGGACAGACTTCGGATCTCGGTTTCGGGTCCCGTAAACTAGGGTTTTCATCCCCGTTTCGACGCACCATCAAGCCTCCTAAGAACCATAGCTCATCCATGCTTTATTCAATAATCAAGATCATCAAACAAACATAGATCTCATGTTTACATGCATTCTAACCATTAAAACCATGAAAACATGCATAGATCTATAGTCTACATGCATTCTAACAATTAAAGACATCACTACAAAAAAACACGACAAAGGTGACGCAAATTTTGCGTCACCATAGGGCGATTTTGCGTCACCCTTTTAAAAGGGTGACGCAATAGTGACGCAAAAAAAGCGTCACCAATAGCACCGTCACCATTTGCAATTTCGTCACCAAGCGTCACCAATTGGTGACGCTGGGGTGACGCATACATTTCGTCACCATTTGGTGACGCAACGGTGACGAAATTGCGTAACTAAAAAGTGACGCAATTGCGTAACCCAATCGTCACCAATTTATGACGCATTTTGCGTCACCATGTGCGTCACCAATTAGTGACGCAGTTTCGTCACCAAGTCGTCACCAGTTAGTGACGAAATTTCGTCACTAATTATTGACGCGTTTTGGTGACGCAATTGCGTCATAAATTACTGACGATATTGCGTGAACAACTGCGTTACTATTTTGTGACGCAGTGACGCAGTCGTCACCAAATTAGTGACGCAATTGCGTCACTAATTTCGTCACTATATTAAAAAAATAAAAAAAATAAAAAAAATAAAAAAAATATTATTATATATAAATATATAATTAAAGTTCTACGTAATTAATTTACAAACCAAAAAAAATATAAAATATTTAATTTTGATTTTGCCCGTCATAATGGGCTTCATCGCCGTCGCCACCGCCACCGCCACCGCCACCGCTTCCTTGTCCACCGCTTGCGAAGCTCGGAAATCCTCGGGTTTGAAACTCATTGAAAAATTCTGCTTGCACTCGTAGTTCTTCAATGAGTTTTCGATCTTCTTCTTGTCGACGCAAGAATTCCGCTTGTTGCCGAAGAAGTTCAGCTTGCTGCTCCTCTAATTGTCGCACTCGTCGTGCGAGTGAAAGCGTTTCCTGAGCAGTTGAAGGAGCATCTTCACCAGGATGATATGTGATATCGGTTTGCATTGAACCGAGACCGTATATCCGTCCAAATTTGTTCGGTGGAACAACCTATATAATAAAAATATAATTAGTTAATAATTTATTTTAAATTAAAATTGAATTGAAATTATTATAAATTTATTTATTTATAAATTACCTGAAGATATATCTCATCAATTTTCTCCTTCGGCAAATTAGGTTCCGATGCAGAAGCTTCGCCTTGTGTTGGTTGCGACGCAATAATCTAAAATATTAAAAAACAATTAAAATTAAATATAAAATATTAACATTAAAAAAAATTATATTAGAAAATATACCTCATGTTGAATTTGTGACGCGATTTGTTGCGCTTTTCCGTCAACCATCACACCATCTTTTCGTGTATGCGTTGCTTTCAACAGATCTAGCAACGTTGGCGCTTCACTTTTTTTAGCCATTTCATGCATAACACGACTGAAAGGCTTAGCTCCCGATGTATGCACATGCCCTCCGGCATTAGGAACCATTTCAGCTTTTCGTTCATTCATGCAGTTCTCTGTAAGATTATAACTCGTCTTCATCCCCATCAATCTAGCAGAAGCCGATAGTTGAGAAAGCCCTTCTTTACAACCCTCATAAATAGGTTGGTTTGCAGCCTCTAATAGATCGAAAAACTTTTTCGATGCCTCATTCATCGGATCTTCTGTAACCTGATCATTATATTGAGATGGAAATGCATCTTGAACCATCTCAATATATGAATTTGGCTGATCATAGACATCAGTATTTCTCACAGATATATTCTCATCAGAAATTTGAAACGTCTCACCATGATAAACCCAGATGTAATAGTTAGAGACAAAACCTTTTTTCCATAGATGTCTCATCACAACTTCTGGAACTTCTTCCCTCTCGTTTTTACATCTTCGGCACGGACAATATATCTTTCCTCTCTGAAGAAAAATATGTTGATTTGTTGCAAACTCCAAAAAATTAGTCAATCCTTCTTCGTAATGCGTAGATACATTACCCGTAGAAGGATTTACTCTTTCGTACATCCATTTTCTTGAGTAATAAATATTGTTATTACTCGATGCCATTTTTTGAATTTTTTTTTTCGGGTGCAAGAGTGTATGAGTGTGGCGTGTGGTTTAAAGGAAATAGAGTGACGCAATTGCGTCACTAAATAAAAAAAATAGTGACGCAATTGCGTCACTATTAATGACGCAATTTCGTCACCAATTTTTTTGTGACGAAATTGCGTCAGTATAATATAATGACGCAATTGCGTCACCAAATGGTGACGAAAGGGTGACGAACGGGTGACGATATTTCCGCGCGTTATTTGGCGACGCAATTTTGCGTCATCAGTGCGTCACCATTGGGTGACGCTGTGGATTGCGTCACAAAGGCGTCACTATTTAGTGACGCTCTAGTGACGCTTTTGTTGCGTCACCCTTTGCGTCACAAAATCGTCACTTTTGCGTCACCCTTTTAGTGACGCAAAAGTTGCGTCACTTTTTGCGTCACCCTTTTCGTGTTTTCTTGTAGTGGTATATTGGTATTGATACTTTTCATAATTGAACAGCATATATATATATATATGTATATGTATGTATGTATGTATAATTACATCGTCCGGTAGCTTTGTATGCAATTATTCTCGGCCGATCTAACAATTCAAAGAGAGTGGATAGTTCCAAGAAGGTGGTAACATGCATGAATCTCAAAGTCAATATTCTTCTATTTTCTGTATATTTGATTTTGCATGGAATTTCTTCTACGTCAAAAAACATGCATTCCAGTTTTGCTCCACGTAACACCCTCTCTTTGAATTGCTATGAAAATTTTAAATTTTATATTTGTAATTCATTCCGACCGGTCGTATGTTTCTATATCCCATACTCGTTTTTTCCAACCCATGAGAACATTTTATCATTTTGATCTTTAAATTTTTTAAAATAATTTCTATATATAATATTTGCTATGCGTTGCGTTGTGTGGCCATAAATTTCCAAGTCAACGCTCAATTTTGCAGCCGTATTGTAATTCAGGACGAAGAGTACCGATCACTTGTTCATACTCTCAGTACCCTTTCGATTGACTTTGTGTACGGACAAACGAATAAAATCTTTTTTTAATAAGATCCATCAATATTATCTAGTTTGAATAATTCAGCTATTTTCCGGTTATTTTTCTATTGTGACGATTTACTATTAGTGTGACTACTAGTTTGACTTTGCATGATTGACAAAAACAAATTGTTATGTACGATAATATCAAGTCAAATTAAAAAATTGTTTTTTTAATAGGACATTATGTTCCATTACAAACAAAAATTACAGAAGCTGGCCGTGTAAAAAAAAATAATTTAATCGATTTTATGCGGTGGTCTCGGAAAACATAACATTTTTTTTTTCATAATTCATTCGTAATCACAATTTTACTATGGGATTAAAATTTTAAAATAAATATATAATACTATGTTTAGAACTAGATCCAAATTATATCTTAGGATTAGATGGAAAATTTTAAGTGTTTTCAAATTATAAAAAGTTGATTTTACAAATTAAATTTTTCTAGAAATATCAAAACGACTCTAAAGTAGAAAATTATACATTTGTGATTGATATAAAATTAACCAAAATTATAAAAAAATACTATAAAATAAGAAACAAATATAGCAAAAAACGATAATTGGATGGCAATTTTAGGTCTAATGTATAAAGGCACGATACCACGTTACTTTCCAAGATATTATATAATATATATATATATGATTTACGAAAAGTACAGATCACATAGGAGGGAAAGTTTAATCGACCACCAGGGTTTAGTATATAATTCTTTCTAGCTTTTGATCATTAAGAAGGCGATATTTAATAAATAAAAAATTGTTATATATTATTTAACAAGAAGGAAAAAATTAATATTATTTTTAAAATTTAATAATTTTTTGGATATTCTTACTCCATATAATAAATAATAATAATAATAATAATAATAATAATAATAATAATAATAATAGAAAATAGTAACTTGTTTTATTAGAATTTATTTTTATTCAATATGTAAATAAAATTAAGGGATAATTCCATTTAAAATCATGTACTTTTCTCTCGTCGCAATTTAAACCCTATACTTTTTTTTGATCAAAAAAAACATTGTACTTTTAAAAATTGGAAATTAAAACTCTATACTTTTAAAAATTGGCAAATAAAACCCTGAACGAAAAAATATATTATTTAATGCTGACATGGCATCATAGTCATCTGCCACATCATCAATCCCTAATATTTAATAATATTAATTAATACAAAATAAAAATAAAAT